TAACCGCTTACGATGGTTAGTTCTAGGTCATGTTTTGATTAGCATCCTTATGCTTGCATGTTTGCATTCATTCATCTGTCTTGCATGCACCGGACTCGGCGCATCATACAAACTGCATTGTATTTCAATACATTTACTTGAATACATATTCAATAGCATGTTATCAAGTTGCATTTCATATGCCTAGAATAGCCGAGCCCATTTTAGTTACATTTTTGCATGTGTTGCATTAGACATCTTAACATAGGTAGGATCATGCATTGATCCCTACCTCAAATGGAGAAGATGAAGGCCAAGAACCAAAGTGCTCCAAATCGCCAAACTTTCAGATTAAAATGAAGATCAAGGGAAGCTCCACACTCAATACAAAGGAACTAGGGTAGAAGATCACTAGAACTAGATGTATTTATAGAGAGAAGATGTAGTCTAGAGAGAGAAACTCTCAAGTTATTCATTCAATGAACTTCATTAAATTGATTAATGTATCTCATACATTCATGATACATAATGCATCTTCTATATTAATGAATTCATTAGATAGATTAATGTATCTTACATATTCATAATAGATACATAATGCATTTCTAAGATTCATTCATAATAAATCCATCACATTCAATGTATTAGCATTAGTCTTCTATACATTGTATAAATAGGTATCAATGATTAGTCACCATCTAATTGATGTACATGTATCTTACTAATGAGATGAATCTAGTATAATCATGCATAATCTTTGAAAAGTTAGAGAGAGAGAATGGCCCGAAAAAGTGATCCAAAAAGCTGTTTTTCAGACTGATATACAAACAGGTCCGCTCAAGCGTCAAGCCCAAAATCTGGACATCAACCCTTGGTTTCCAAACACAACCAACCTGTTTCAAACCTGCCCAACACGACCCAAGACTCATATACAAAGAGTAAAGGATGGAAACGGGAATAAGACAACAACACATCTACGGAACCGAGTTCGGAATACAATTAAACAATGCAGGGAAAATCGGGATCGCTATACGTACTCTCATTCCAGAACTCCATTTAGGATGAGAATAAGATTTACACTGTAAAAAGGTAAAGACACTAGTAACAAATATTTTTTTAAATTGGAGTAGTGGGAATCTCTGATCCTCAAGGCACGTAGGGCTTGCAGAAGTAGAAGAAGATCATGATGATGAACAAATAAGAACTTGAGAAAATGAGAGACAACAGAAATTGATGAAACAATATTAGCCAACTCATTTCTCCTCATGGGAATCAAAGATATCAAAATGAATAAGTTGGATATTTGATGATGGAGAAGGGTAAGAGAAAATGTATAAGCAACAGTAAGTCTTTCTTTGGTGCAGCCTGTCAAGTAAGGCAACCATGTAAATTGTAATTATCCATTATTCAAACAAGCTTGTCTTCTATCAACGGTTGGTATGACGGAAAATGAAAATCAACTGAAACATTTTCCGTTGATCATGAAAAAAGGTTTATTTGGGCAAAGAATATTTTTTAAACTAAACTCCTGTCCTACCAATGACATCAGACGACCTCCATCTCCACCACCCTACCACTATTACCGCCAACACTACCACCACAATTTCTGCCCCATCACTACCGCCACCACTACCACACCAACATTACCACTACCACTACCACAATCACTAGCACATTAATTTTAAAATGTTGAAAAATATTTGTTTTTTATTTGTAATAAACGTCTTCAGTAACAAAATATATTTTACCCAAACAAATAGAGTGGTAATTCTGATGGTCCCAAAGCTAGCAAAGGTTGGCCATAAATCACTAAAAAAGTTGGAGTTGGTATTACTAAGCAAGTAATGCCATAGTTTGAGACTGGAATTGTTTGAGAGATGGAAGAAAAACCAACCTGGGTAGGTGGGATATTTCTTAAGGAATGTGGCTGGAAATAAGTAGTTTGAGATGGACATATGTTGAACTTTCAAAGTGGCCTAAACCATTTGTCTATTTTTGTTATGCAAAACGGACGGGAAAATGGTATTTTAGTCATCAAAAAAAATAAGGAAGATATTGTGTATGGTGATAAAGTACAATAGGGTATATATTCAAGATAAATAGACATGTGGCATGATATGATTGGAGCTAAGACTAAATTGACTCAAATTGATCAAAATGATAAAAATTAAAACTTAAGGGACTAAAATGATAAGAAACGACTTTAGGGACTAAAACTATCTTTTAGCCATACTGTTCCCATTAATAATATAGACGGACGTTAGAGCTATGGCCAGATTGATTCAAATTGACAATTTGGAGGACCAAAATGACAAAATTGAAACTTAAGGGACTAAAATAAAAAAGATCCCATACTTTAGGTATTAAAACCGTCTTTTATCCAAGTTTTGATATTTGGAAAAAAGAAAACTAGTTCACCCACTTGGTAGTGACCAAGAAAACAACACTTATTTTCTGTATTTTCTTTCTTCAATAAATTTAAGATCGAAATACAATCTTAAGATTATCCAAGAAATATCTGATATCCATTCATTTAAATTGTTTTTAGAAATGTTAAAGTTAGTAAGTTGTGCAATCTCTAATGGACCCTAAAAAGTGGGTGAATATATCTTATAAGCTTAGAGCTAAACTAAAATGATATCATTTTAGGATGTGTAGTTTAAAATAAAAACATAATATTTTAATGTCATTTTACTTTAATTTTAATGTTATGTTGCTGGATTATGTAGTTCACAAACATGTTTTACTATGGTAAAAATCATTATTAAAAAAAAATGACAATACTACAAAGTTGCAAAATATGAGAGGTACAAACTACTTAAGGATCAAATATTGTTCATTGAATGAGGTAGTTGGTCAGAAAAAAAACTAGTTTGAGAAGAAAAATTATCCAATGCTCCTGCAGATAATTAAAAAAGAATGGCTTCTTTCCAATCTGAATATGGACTAAAGAATGTTGTTTGAGCACTCAGATTGTCTACCCATTAACATATTGTTAGCAAAAATCTGGTTTGGATGGAGTCTACAGAAGAAAATCAACAGAGAAACCAGTTTTTACAAACAACAAACACATCAAGCAATTGTGGTTAGTGTCCAGTTTCAAGGACTTCTTTGGAGGTTGCAATGTGAAGAAACAAGTGTAAACAAACTACAAATTGGTAATAAAATTGAAACTTGTTACTCAATTGCATTAATCAAACAAGAAGCACAATCTTTGTTACACAATCGACAGGAATCAAAAAGGTTACAAGAACCAAAACTAACTGCTAAAAACTACTCCTAAATTAAGGTAATCTACTCCTAAGTTAAGATAGACTACTCCTAGATAAAGAACTCTCATGAGTTTAATGTTTTGTTGATCCCTTTTGATCTTCTCTTCTTTGCCTATTTATAGGCAAAGTCCCATGGCTTAATTACCAATTGTTCAAAGGCAGTTTCTTCAATTCACAAGTTGCATAATATTTGCCACAAACCGTTGCCCACGATCATCGTATCAAGCCACGTTGGCACTATTTCTTTGTGCCCCATGTTGCTCGTGCATGACCCACGATTTGGTGGGTTTGAATGAAACTTACCTGCATAACATTAGTAATAATAATAATAATAATAATAATATGGCCATAATCTTTTAAAAAGATAATTTATGATCTGAATCTACAGATCAAAATCAACAAACCACTATCAATGAGATTAGATTTGGCCATAATCAACAAGCCACCGTCAATAAAATAGGATTTGGTCATAATTGGCAGGCCATAGCTAATTAGATTCGATTTGGCCTATTGACAGGCCAAAATCGATAGAAAATAAAATATGGTGTCAACACATATTAAATATTGGGTCAAGTTTTTTATTTGGATCTAATTGTGAATTTGTAAATAAGTAGACAAAATCTTAACCATTAATTTAAAAAAGTATCAATATGACAAACATCTATTGCTCATACTAAACTAAATGTCCAGTTTGAATATCTGGATTGGTTGTGGAATACGGACATCCAAACTAGAGAAGCTCCGCCCATAGCCAGAAACTGATGGGAACAACAAGACACATTAAGATAAGTTGACTTACAAATAATTGCCATCTTCTTTTTTAATGTTTAATAACAATCATTCAGTTTATAGTTTATTGTATTTGGGAGAGTTAGCACAGAAAATACAACAATATAGTCCACCAAACTATCACAATTGAAAAAAGTAAACCCCATTGTCGATTGTATTTCCATGATTCTTTTCTTGCTTATGAACAACATTTCCAATCAATACTCTTAGAATCACCATTTTCCTACTATAATTAATCACGAAATTCCCACATCTCAATAGAAACAAGTGCTAGACTATATCTCCAGTGTGATCCCTTAGTCGCCATTGAATTGAGAATGTTTTTACCTTCCAACAAGCAAACGTTGAAATATTTTAAAAAGGAGTAACACATCATTATTTTCAGTGCAAATTCTCTATCAGGTAGCCAACAATTTTGTCATTCAAAAATAAAACAAGGGGAATGGTTTGAGTTGTAACTTTTAAGATTGCATTTTAAGGTTAAAAAACTCAGCAAGGCCAAGTTTGACTGAAATCCAATTTAAAAGCAGCTACATAAAAAAAAGTACAAATCTATAAAGGTTGCTACATGATGCGAGAAAAGAAACAAGGAGTCATGATATGCAACTCTTATTTGACTCGTGCTTTAAGAAAACTAAACAACATAACAAAGCTTTAGAACTCAATACAACAACAAAGGTAAAATCTTTTGAAGTGATCCTGTATAGCTGCTATCTAGATGCACATGGACTCAAATGCAACAGCTACATGAGACACCCCTTCAAGTGGACACCATTCCTTTATTGTGCTACTTGATGGAATAGATCTAGTTTTGAAATAAAAACATTAGCAACTCAATAATAGCATATACATAGAAACCATAAAAGATAATTCAATAAAGTAATGCTTCAAAGATAAATTCTACTTACCTAAATGACGCCATTTGTTTTTTGCTGATTTCTTCCTTTACTGCATCAGTGGGCACTCTTCTTGGACCTTTTCACCTTCTTATATGGTTTTCCTTTAACAATTTTCATCAGCCATTCTGGACTTCGAGTTACTAACATAAGATATCCCATAACCATTCCAAATACAAAGCCACATCCATACCCCATAACAACAACTTTCCAGTTAAATCCGCCCTTCCAATCTGAATTTTCATCATGTTGTAGTGTTGGTGGAGGTGGCAATGGTTGTTGTTCCTCACATTTCTTTGATAAGGGGAATCCACACAAGGCCAAGTTCCTATTGTATAAATCATTCCCAAATGTATTAAATTGGCTTCCTTGAGGAATTTGTCCCACTAGTTGGTTATCCGATAGGTTTAGTACGACAAGAAACTTCAAACTTGTCAATTGCTGAGGAATCTCCCCAACAAGCTCGTTTGAGGAAAGGTCCAATGATTCAAGGTTCGTTAAATTTCCAAGTAAAGTTGGGATGTGACCTTTGAGGTTGTTATGGGATAAGTTAAGACCATGAAGTGAATTAAGCCTCCCAATGGATTTCGGAATGTCTCCTTGGAATTTGTTTCTTGAAAAATCAATGATTGAGAAGACTGTTAAGATTCTTGAATATTTAATTTCATGTCCTTTCATCATTACCACCACAGAATCTTGATAATAATATTCACCCATGTATTTCAATTTCATTTCATGTTCATTTGCATTCATCATAGCTTCAAATTGTTTGATATAGTTTGTCAGCAAAAGCCTAGTGAACTCATTATAGGATATGTCGATAATTCTCAACTTGGGGAAAGGATGTTTGCCCTTGGTCTTGAAGGTGACTATGGGACCATGAAACATATTAAATCTCAAGACAATAACCTGCAAGTTTCGAAGAGTTCCCAACCAGTGGGGGAATGTATCATTTATCTTCTTTTTTCCAAGATCTAGAACTTCCAAGTGTCTAAAATTGAGCAATGATCGCGGAACTTGTCCTTCAATTTGGTTGCCATTCAAGTGAAGATTCCTTAGCACGTTGCCTTTGGTAAATGTTGCAGTAAACGTGCCATGAAAGCTATTGATCCCTAAATTCAGCACCGAGAGGCTGTTGCTGAAGTTTCCCAAACATTGTGGAATCAACCCGCTCAAATTGTTATTAGACAGATCAAGAATTTCAAGTGAGCTCAGATTGCAAATCAATGTAGGGATTTCTCCGGTCAATTTATTGTTTGAGATAGAGAAAACATATGTGGTGTTAGGTGGAACAGGGAGTGGTCCTCGGAGTAAGTTGGAGTGCAGGCCAATATATTGTAGATTCTGCCATGGAAGACACTTTAAACTTGTAAAGAAATTATGAGAAAGATTTAAATTTTGCAATGAATCTTTCCCCACATTGAATAACCATTTTGGAACTTCACCGTGAATTTTTTTGTTTAAAAGGTCTAGTGAATACAATCTGGCTTGTTCTCTCAAGAAGTTTGGGAATTCGCTCAAGTTGCAAGAAGCTAATCGTATAGTTTCCAAGTTGGTCAAGGTAGAGTTGACACTGTTGTTGATGCTCAATGAGAGACCATTATATGAGAGATCAAGATAGATCAGATTTTTAAGCTTTAGAAGCTTATCTAGATCCAGTACACCATTTAAGTTATTTGATGAAAGTCCTGGAATTGGTCCCTGTAGCTTATTGTTACTCAATCCTATTCGAACCAGTGAAGGCAGAGCAAACATCGAAGATGGTATTATCCCATTGAGTGAGTTAAAACTCAAAAGGAGAGAAGTTAGTTGGCTCATGTTGCCAAGGGAATCCGGTATTTGGCCATTCAAATTGTTTCCAGAAAGACCTAAGTAAGTAAGTTGGCTCATGTTGCCAAGGGAATCCGGTATTTGACAGTTCAAATTGTTTCCGAAAAGATCCAAGTAAGTAAGCTGGCTCATGTTGCCAACGAAATCCGGTATTTGACCGTTCAAATTGGTTCCAGAAAGACCCAAGTTAGTAAGCTTTGCAAGGTTTGAAATTGATGAGGGGATTTGACCACCGAAACTGTTATACCCGAAGTCTAGATCGGTGATTTGTGTAAGGTTCCAAAGAGAAGCTGGAATGGACCCCGAAAAGTTGCATTGGACGAGGTACAAACTATTCAAGGCTTTAAGATTGCTGATTGATTCAGGCAATTGGCCAGAAAAACTTACTCCAGAGAGATCAAGAACCTGAAGGGAACTAGTCACATTGAAGTATGGAAGTTTACCTGTGAGGTCCCAATTTTCCCGTACGTTGAGCTCTTGTAGGTTTGAAAGGTGAAAAATGTTTTCTGAGAATTTCCCACGCAGTTGACAATCAACAAGACTAAGAGATGTCAAAGAAGATAGATTTAGCAACGCATGAGGTAAAGGTGAAGAGATATTCAACCAATCAAGGTGTAGTTCTCTTAATTGGGTTAGGTTTCGAAGGAGCATATTGAAAGTATGTTGTTCAAGTCTCCCTACATATAAATGATTATTATAAAAATTATAATAATACAAGTAAGAGAGGTCAAGGGAAACCAATTTGGACAGATGGCAGATTTTTGAAGGAATTCGGCCTGTAAAATTAGAGGAAGAGAGGTTGAGATGGGTCAAACTTGGAAAGGAGCCAAAATCAGGCGAAATTGTAGAGAAATTGAAGTCATTGAAGGCAAGATTGAGGGTTTGGAGGTGACGAAGGTGGAAGAGGGAGCTGTTGGGTTGGATTGTGCCCAGAAGGTGGCTACAACGAAGGTCAAGTCCAATCACATGACCATTCGACCAGTCGCACGTGACCCCCTCCTGTAACGCCCTCAAAATAAACCCATAATATCATACAGTCAAGTTACAGGAAAAAGATATTATATTACAATCATCAGAGTATCCTTACGAAATGTATTACACGTTGACAACAAAAGTAACTGCCCTATAGGCTTACAAATTTTCAAGTCAACACTTGGTTACAAAGTGAGAGCACTAACTCAGATACATATTAAGCCCTTGGCTTGAATTTACATGAAATACATCTAAAGAAAACAAAACAACAAAATAGTCTGTCTGCCTCTAGCCTCCCAAGCTATGTTCTTGGAGGTGGCATACCGTCGGTACCTGAAAATGAAGTCCCATATAGGGTGAGCCACAGCCCAGTAGAAATATACTAAACCAATTATAAATAATGACTAAAATAATAACATTCAATAGATGGTCCACACTTATATTCCGTGTTTATTTTTTGACAGTTATGAATTAAATTTGTTTCTTAAAACCAATTCAGTTGCAAATTAATAATGGGTATAATTACTATTTATTATTATGTAAATAATGAGAGAGTTTCTTTCTTACGTAACACTAATGATATATGTGTGTGTGACTTGCAGAGGGAATGTAACGCCCTCAAAAAAATAACATTAAACCCAACAAATAAAACATTCATTGACATACGAAATATCCACATTCTTCTATTCATCAGAGTTTCATTACAAAAGTATTACATGTTAGCAACAAAAGCAAGATGCCCTACGGGCTTACAGCTTTCCAAGTTAACACTTGGTTACAACAAAAGAGTGATAACTCATCTACACATTAAGCCCTTGGCTTGAATATACATGTAATACATCAAAAGAAACTAAACAGCAAAAATCTGCTCGCATCTAGCCTCCCAAGCTATGACCTTGGAGGTGGCATGCTACCTGTACCTGAAAATGATATTCCCATAAAGGGTGAGCCACAGCCCAGTAGAAATACACTAAACCAACCATGAACAATGACTAAAAGATTAGCAATTGATAGATGGCCAACACAGATACATCCACATAAATCACATTTTATGTCATACGACTTATGAGTCCAAGTTACTTTTCATTTTCCCTTTTTCAACAGATAAGCATATTAGCTCTATCATCATCTCAACAGATATGTATAAAAACTATATCCCACATTCACAGATAAGCATATAGGCTATATCCACATTCTCAATAGATATGTATAACAACTATATCCCACATTCACAGATAAGCATATAAGCTATATCCACATTCTCAATAGATATGTATAACAACTATATCCCACATTCACAGATAAGCATATAAGCTATATCCACATTCTCAATAGATATGTATAACAACTATATCCCACATTCACAGATAAGCATATAAGCTATATCCACATTCTCAACAGATATGTATAACAACTATATCCCACATTCACAGATAAGCATATAAGCTATATCCACATTCTCAACAGATATGTATAACAACTATATCCCACATTCACAGATAAGCATATAAGCTATATCCACATTCTCAACAGATATGTATAACAACTATATCCCACATTCACAGATAAGCATATAAGCTATATCCACATTCTCAACAGATATGTATAACAACTATATCCCACATTCACAGATAAGCATATAAGCTATATCCACATTCTCAACAGATATGTATAACAACTATATCCCACATTCACAGATAAGCATATAAGCTATATCCACATTCTCAACAGATATGTATAACAACTATATCCCACATTCACAGATAAGCATATAAGCTATATCCACATTCTCAACAGATATGTATAACAACTATATCCCACATTCACAGATAAGCATATAAGCTATATCCACATTCTCAACAGATATGTATAACAACTATATCCCACATTCACAGATAAGCATATAAGCTATATCCACATTCTCAACAGATATGTATAACAACTATATCCCACATTCACAGATAAGCATATAAGCTATATCCACATTCTCAACAGATATGTATAACAACTATATCCCACATTCACAGATAAGCATATAAGCTATATCCACATTCTCAACAGATATGTATAACAACTATATCCCACATTCACAGATAAGCATATAAGCTATATCCACATTCTCAACAGATATGTATAACAACTATATCCCACATTCACAGATAAGCATATAAGCTATATCCACATTCTCAACAGATATGTATAACAACTATATCCCACATTCACAGATAAGCATATAAGCTATATCCACATTCTCAACAGATATGTATAACAACTATATCCCACATTCACAGATAAGCATATAAGCTATATCCACATTCTCAACAGATATGTATAACAACTATATCCCACATTCACAGATAAGCATATAAGCTATATCCACATTCTCAACAGATATGTATAACAACTATATCCCACATTCACAGATAAGCATATAAGCTATATCCACATTCTCAACAGATATGTATAACAACTATATCCCACATTCACAGATAAGCATATAAGCTATATCCACATTCTCAACAGATATGTATAACAACTATATCCCACATTCACAGATAAGCATATAAGCTATATCCACATTCTCAACAGATATGTATAACAACTATATCCCACATTCACAGATAAGCATATAAGCTATATCCACATTCTCAACAGATATGTATAACAACTATATCCCACATTCACAGATAAGCATATAAGCTATATCCACATTCTCAACAGATATGTATAACAACTATATCCCACATTCACAGATAAGCATATAAGCTATATCCACATTCTCAACAGATATGTATAACAACTATATCCCACATTCACAGATAAGCATATAAGCTATATCCACATTCTCAACAGATATGTATAACAACTATATCCCACATTCACAGATAAGCATATAAGCTATATCCACATTCTCAACAGATATGTATAACAACTATATCCCACATTCACAGATAAGCATATAAGCTATATCCACATTCTCAACAGATATGTATAACAACTATATCCCACATTCACAGATAAGCATATAAGCTATATCCACATTCTCAACAGATATGTATAACAACTATATCCCACATTCACAGATAAGCATATAAGCTATATCCACATTCTCAACAGATATGTATAACAACTATATCCCACATTCACAGATAAGCATATAAGCTATATCCACATTCTCAACAGATATGTATAACAACTATATCCCACATTCACAGATAAGCATATAAGCTATATCCACATTCTCAACAGATATGTATAACAACTATATCCCACATTCACAGATAAGCATATAAGCTATATCCACATTCTCAACAGATATGTATAACAACTATATCCCACATTCACAGATAAGCATATAAGCTATATCCACATTCTCAACAGATATGTATAACAACTATATCCCACATTCACAGATAAGCATATAAGCTATATCCACATTCTCAACAGATATGTATAACAACTATATCCCACATTCACAGATAAGCATATAAGCTATATCCACATTCTCAACAGATATGTATAACAACTATATCCCACATTCACAGATAAGCATATAAGCTATATCCACATTCTCAACAGATATGTATAACAACTATATCCCACATTCACAGATAAGCATATAAGCTATATCCACATTCTCAACAGATATGTATAACAACTATATCCCACATTCACAGATAAGCATATAAGCTATATCCACATTCTCAACAGATATGTATAACAACTATATCCCACATTCACAGATAAGCATATAAGCTATATCCACATTCTCAACAGATATGTATAACAACTATATCCCACATTCACAGATAAGCATATAAGCTATATCCACATTCTCAACAGATATGTATAACAACTATATCCCACATTCACAGATAAGCATATAAGCTATATCCACATTCTCAACAGATATGTATAACAACTATATCCCACATTCACAGAAAATGCCAAAATTTAAAGACAAAGCTCATAAGATGGAGTAGGATATCCCTACCTTGAAGTTAGAGCTCAAATGGTGGAGAGGACCAAACTCAAAGTGCTCCAAACTCCAAACTTTTCGAATCAAAACGTAGCCCTCGACAATCAACACACTTTTTATAAAGGCCAAAGGGTAGGAGAACACTCCAACTAGATCAATCCTAAGAGAGAAGGGAGAAAGTAGTGAGAGAAGCTCTCAACAATGGCTTTTCGGAAAAGTAAGAGAGAAAGTGGAAGTTGAAAAGTGATTCAAAATAGCCTAGTTGTCAACTGATATACGACACCCCCGCTCGAGCGTAGAACTTGACGCTTGAGCGTCTAGCACAAAAACTGGACCCGCTCGAGCGCCAGGAGGCCCGTTCGAGCTCCAAGACACAAAAACAAAACACATCCGCTCGAGCGCGAAAACCAATCTGCTCGAGCGTGGATTCTCCCCTCCCAGTATTTTCTCAGATAGTGAACACCCGCTCGAGCGCGACCCGCTCGAGCGTAGGGAAACCTGCTCGAGCGTGAAAAACAAGCCTGTAGTACTTTTGTAGAGGCACGAAATGCTGGAAGTATGGAATCTCCGCTCGAGCGCACAAGGACCCGCTCGAGCGGACCACTCAAAAACTAGGCAACAATAATTTGAACTGAGGCTCAACCCACCTGTTCGAAACACGCTCAACACATCCTAAAGCTCAGACATATGGAATTAAAGG